CCGGCCCACCAGGCCCGTTAAGACAGCGGGCCCGGTCCGGTCCGGTTCGGGACCGGCCCACAGTGCAGCATTAACGCGAAGGCCAAATGTCTGCAACACCAACATCAGATTTTCTGCAACTTTTCCAACATGAATTTGATCCGTTCAACTACCCGAAACTCATCCGAGGCCCTCAGGACCTCAACCAAACATGCCAACATATCCCATAACCTCATTCAAACTTGTTCCAACCTTCGAAACGCTCAAAACAATATCAAAACACCAAATTGACATCGGATTCAAGCCTAAGAATTCCAAAAACTTTCAAATTCCGCTTTCGATCAAAAACTCTATCAAACCTCGTCCGAATGAACTGAAATTTTGCACACACATCACAAATAACACAACGGATCTACTCCAACTTTCAGAATTCCATTCCGACTCCTATATCAAAATCTCACCTATTAACCGGAAAACGCCAAAATTTCATTTTGCCAATTCAAGCCTAAATCTACTCCGGACCTCCAAAACCCATTTCGATCATGCTCCTAAGTACCAAATAACCTCCTGAAGCTATCTGAACCATCGAAATTCACATCCGAGCCCTTTTTCACATAAGTCAACATCCTATTGACTTTTCCAACCTAAGTTTACTCAAAAGAGACTAAGTGTCTCATTCCTTTCCAAAACTCCTCCAAACCCGAACCAACCAATCTGATATCACATAATACAGATGAACAAGACAATACAACAACAACAACAACCCAGTATAATCCCACAAGTGGGGTCTGGGGAGGGTAATATGTATGCAGACCTTACCCCTACCCCGAAGGGTAGAGAGGCTGTTTCCAGGAGACCCTCGGCTCAAAAAGCAACAGAAGCCGATATATTAGAACCATAAAAATGCATAATAAAATAACAGTAATACAATACAATAGATATGAAGTACCGAATATGAAATACGAAAAAGATGGCTGGTATAGTAAAAACTAGCAGGTAAAGCCCCGCATCACTAGACGACCAATGGCATTCTTATTCTAACTCCTAACTGGCTAGTCTCACTCTATTGTGCTGTAGAAATATTCACAACTCTCCCCTAACCTACAACCTTAATACAGATGAACAAGACAATAAGAAGTAGAAATGGGAAAACGGAGCGATAACTCATGAAACGACCGGTCGGGTCGTTACAGGGCCTAAGTGTGCCTGGCTTTTTTTTTTAAAAATATTTATCTAAGGTAATTTCTTGTAAATTATATAGCTTATATATATATATATATATATATATGTGTGTATGTATGTATGTATATGTATATATATATATACATATAAGCAATTTATATAGTATATATGTATATTATAAATATAGATATAGTCTATAGAAAATATATATATATNATAAACAGTCGGTGCCCTCCAACTTTGGACGATGAGTGTAGACTCGACCAGAGTTCTTGCACTTTATTATGTAAACTTCTTCATTTTCTTCTACCACATTAAAGTGTTCCAAAATAAATGGGCGCAATCTAGAATCACCGGGCATGATTTAACTTGAATTAAGAATTTGAGTTTGAGAAATGAGAGATGAGCGAAGACTTGAATACTTCAATTTGATTTTGAGAAATGAGAGAGATTGATGATTTTGTGAGAAAAATAAAAGAATGAGGGGGTATTTATAGTTGAAAATAGGAAAAAAAGTGTAATTATAAAATGTTTGGGGTTAAAACAAAGTTGGGGTGTTAAATGGCTATTTTAAAAAGCCCAAACAGCTATTTTTCCAGGCCAACGACCATTTTTTAGATGTTGCAACGGCTAAAAAAAATTGGATTTTTTTTTAAAAAAAGTAGTTGTTGGGCCTGTTTGAGCCCGTTTAGGACCGGTTGAACCGGCCCACTTAGGACCCGGTTCCGGGTCCAAATGGTCCCGGTCCTAACAGGCTTCTTCAATGAACCAACCCACTTGGGCCTGCATCTCCCCTGATCCCGGGCTTAAACGGTTAGGCCCGTTTAGGCCCACTGCCCATATGGACTCGCGGGCCCGGGCTGGGCTTCTTCAATGAACCGACCCACTTAGGCCTGCACCTCCCCTGGTCCTGGGCTTAAACGATTAGGCCCACTACCCATATGGACTCGCAGACCCGGGCCTTACCGGCCCACATGCGAGCCTTAGCTAATTAGCTTGGTACAAAAACAGCTTTTATTATAGTTTGAGGACAATTTTTGCAAATTTATTCGTACATTCTGTGACTTCTGAAGGGGCAAAACGATAATTGGCAGCTACTACAGCCTGCTAGAGTACTAGTGTCAACTCTAAACTCGAAGATCGAGCTCGGGTCTGTAGTTCGGATCTTTTTCAGATCCTGCCGGCCGGTAGCGATGAGTTTGTCTCTCATACAAGGCTACTCCTCGGCGGAGGAGGAAGAAGAACAAGAAGAACCTCAGTACCAGAAATCATCCTCCGACGAGGAAAACGACGACGTTATTCCACAAAAAAATCGTTACAAACCCATTTTTGACCCTAACCCTGCTTCATCTTCTTCGCTTCCTTCAGCTCTTGCTGCCTTTTCCGAAGTAAAATTTCCTTAAATTCCTTTTATTAGTATTATCTTTTTTATGTTATTTTGTTGTAATGTGAAGTGCGGTGTGAAACATTTATGTTTGGAAATTATTGGAGATTTCAGGGCCGCCGCAGTTTTTGAACAACAGTGTTGAAGAAGCTGGAAAGGAAGTGGAGGGGCAGCGACACGGTCGCCGTAAGTACAGCAGAAACAAGAATGATTTACCAGCTGGTACTTTTCTAGCTCCTGACACTTCTTTTTATTGTATATATGATGGTATTTACGGTGTTGTAATTATACAATGTCCCTTGAACAATTTATCATTTAACATCAGCTATTAGTATGGCCTGGTAACCAAGGGTGTAGCCTAGTGATCAATGAGGTGGGTGAAAACCTGGAAAATCGGGGTTCACATTCCAGCAGAGATAAGAAACCCTAGGTGATTTCTTTCCATCTAGCTAAGCCTTGTCGGGGAGAGTTATCCGGTAGTCATAACATAGGTAACCCAAAGTGAATGCAACTTAAATAGCTTATAGAAATAGAGTCTGCAGTCCAATGTTTCTACTTTTTCATGAACACGGTGTTTAATAATCTAAGATAGAGAACCCATCTCTAAAGGGGTTCAACTCAATATGTTTATCCTTTGGCCACCAATATAGCCTTCAAGTCGTCAAATGCTCCATCAACTTTTTGTTGACTTTATAGACCCACTTGTAGCCCATTATTGATTTCCCTCGAGGCAAGAAAAGCTCTATTTCTCTGACAGTGATATGCTGACAATCTTTTCTTTAAAATGGGGCATGTCAATTTTTTGCTCTAGGAAGTATCTTTAATTGAATAATTTTGTCGACTACCATCACGCTTTTTGTTCCTATTCTTTTGTTTAGTCATCTTTGTGACAATAAAGGAGAATCGCTAATGGTCACAGACGGTTTGTACATTTTCCTTTTCTATCTTTCACCCTTATAGGTGCTGTAGTGGAGTCAAAGGCTCAGTTAGTAGGGATACATGAGAGGGTCAGAAGTGATGTCGATGGGAGCATCCCAAGGACAGCCACTGGTCAAGCAAGTGTTTCTGTTGGCACTTTACAAGGAGGCAAACCTGTGCCAAGTGCGAGCTATCCTGGTGCAGAAGATGCAGCAGAGCTTCTGAGGTATGGATTATCATTTCAATTGAGGGGTCCATTATCTGAATCTCAACTTTGTGATTTGGATTAATATCAGTATAATTGTAAACGGAATGCTAGAATTAGTTATATATGTTTGGTTTTTTAAATTTTCCATAACTTGTGCGGTTCACTTTAGTGAAGTATGGACTTCACCTCTCGTTTTACACTTCAAACTCCATGGACCTTGTCATTTTTGTGTTTTTCACTTCTAAAAACACTGGATGAGACAATTTATTTTTCAGAATGTCGTTAATATTCGAAATACTTGTACGACTAGATACTTTTGATAGTTGACACACTACTAGAGGTTTTAATATTTCATACACCTTTCACTATCTCGAGATTTCAGATGCATTTAACGCTTAAGTTTGAGCTACAATGTGATGTGTTAGTCCTTTCCTAACCATATAATCAAGCTCCAGTACTTAATTTAACATTTTTATACTATTATTAACACAATGTATAAGTCAAACTAAGTTATTAAGCTGTGCGATGGTGAAAATTGAAGACATAAAAAGCGGATGGAGGGGGTTTACTAAATAAGATAAACAATCCTACCATAGACACCAGATTTATAGCTGCTGTATCCATTTGAATCATAAGTAAACAGAAGATGCTTTTTACAAAGGTGCAGCTGTTGGATCCAGTGAAGAGCGTAATTTGTTTTTGGTTGGTTTATTGCTGTGAGCTTTTTGAGGTAGATGCAGTATATATTGAACATAACAGTTTGGTGAAGATTTAGAGACTTCACCTTTTATTACCTTGACTGTTTGAGAAGGTTGAACATAAAAATCAGTGGACTGAAAAAAAAATAGCATCCTTGTAAGACTTCCTGCGTGCACTTTCATGTGTAGTATGTGGTTGCAGAAGTGTTTAGTATTTTGTTATCCTTTGAATCTCAGTTTTGTTAATCAAGCTATTAAAAACTCTTACCTATGTTTTTCCTGTGGGTGACCCTGCCTGCCTAGAAGGAAGGGCAGGGAGGCGACTGAGATTGATTGCATTCAAGCTCTAAGTCCAGACAATTTTTTGCTGTCTGGAATAATCACTTTGCACTAAGTTAATCATTTGCTTTGTTAATTGTACTGAATTTACAATTTGCTTTAACGCTTAGACACTGTGACGAGACTAATTTATGGTGCAGTTTCTGTTATCAATTAAAGAGAAAATCACTGCTATTTATAATATTTTTCTTGATTCAGCTTTTAATGTATCTCTCCTTTTATTAAGTGGTGATGACTTGTGAGATTTTATCTTTCTGTTCTTAAGCTGAAAACTTCCCAAATTGTTTTCAATTTGGACTCTTAGCACCAAGAGAAATCGTAAAAAGGAAAAAGAAAAAGGATCATGCTTGATGGTTGGACTGGATCTATTAAACCAATACTCAGTTCATTTGTGTAATTCTATAGTTGTTGATAAGTTTGGAACCAAATTTAGGTTGACAACTTATAGAGGAGCAGCTACTGATTCTGCAAGAAGTGTTTTTTGTTTGTTTTCATCTGTGGTGTATATAAGATTATCGATAGCTGGCATGCGGAGTGCTCAGAAAAACATAAATACATAACCATTGGATACATAATACCTATTCTAGCATGATTTTATCCTGCAAGTAAGTTTTTTTTTTTTTTGGAGATAGGTTATCGTGCACATAAGATTTTGCTTTTCAACACTTCATATTTATCTTGAACTCTCTGAGAGGTGATAGATTTTAGTGATTTACTGTGGCTATTCCTATGTGTGGTACCTGCAATTCAAGTGTCACGAGTTCACGCTGCCCATCTTGGCTACCGTACTTGTGTTTCCCTAACCAAAAATGGCAGAGGAAATATGTCAAGTGGTGGACTCATACTTTTCTCATCCTGGTTCACCCTTTGTTGTGTTGGACTAGTGATGAATTTGGCCGTAGACGACTAGATGCATTAGCTCAAATTTTTCTAAAAGTGTTCATTGCTGTGAACCCCATTACAATTTTTGTTCCCTCCGGGGTAGGGCAGTCCTGCAAAGTAACAACCGTTCCTCTATTTCACCTAGTATGTATTAGTTCTTTTTCTACAGACTGCTGAAGGAATTCTTTTTCTCTTTCTGTTGGATGAAGTATATGTTGCATAGGATGTGATTAGGATTATACATCATTATATGACAATGTGACTATGTGTGCTAGTTCTTTTAGTGAGAGTATTGATTGCAGTTTTCTTCATAAAAAATAAAAAAAAAAGTATTGATTGCAATTTCATTTATATACTATCTTTTGATGAAATGCATCTTGTATTAGGATGTGCTTGATGTGTGGAATTCCCAAAACATACACGCACGCAAGAGGGATGGTGTGCCCAGCGTGCAGTGATCGCCCTGTAGACGCTGACGAAGAGCCAGTCAAGAAGAAGGGCTCTACCATTAAAGACAAGGAGAAGAATAAGAGGATGAAGGGGCAGTCGTCCCATGCATCATGGAAAAGCGAGACAGAAATGCATCTCCGCCAGCAATTTGACTAGTCAAGTCTAGAACAAGTTGGTCCAGTTATATGTAAGGTCCTCCAGTGGCGTAATCAATGAACTTTGTACTTTTAGCAGATATACTCGGCTGAAGTGAATCTAGGAATTGTGCAGTAATCTGTTTAAAGTGCATAACCTGTGATGTAGATTCTGGTTGGCGTTAAAGCTAAAGTGCCACCACTTTGTTCTGTTGCCTCTTTGTTCGTTTTCCTCAAGATGTATCACATTTCAACAGAAATTGGGTTTTAGATACTTTTTGTTTGGAAGAAGTCGTGCAGTCAACAAGTGCTTCAGATAGAAAGGATTGCTTCTGTTAATGATCACTTGTTTTAGTTTCGTTATAGCTAATGATTGTTTGGCCTTTTCTTCCATCATATCCAACGTACGCATTAGTGCCTAAGCATACAACAGTGCCAGTGGTTTCTTGACAATGTTAAAATGGTGAGCCAAGTTAAACGAAAAACTGTTTAATTTTATCCAAGGTAACTCATGATATGATGAGTTGACATTCCTCTGTTCTACAGTTATCAAGAAAAAGCAGCTGCTTAGAAAAGACACTTTCTTTCAATAATACATCTAAGTAGGCCAGTTTCTTTCCGAGGGATTAATTTAGAAATCCAGATATCTTACGATTAAATGCAAATAGTTCATTGAGCAAAAAAATAGAGTAGGTGATGCTTCCATCCGCCTAAGCCTTGGTGGGCAGAGTTACTGTATTTTGTATTGGTAAGAGGTAGCCATGCTCGATGGAATTGTAGAAGTGCATTCAAGCTAAAGGGGTAAAAATGGTTTCTGAGAGGAGTGGTCGAAGCCAAGTATGGACTTGAGGAGGAATTTTGATGCACAAAAATTAAAGAAGATTTTCTTCTTTAATTTTAATGATGAGACACTCATTTAGAGAGTTCGAATTTTTTTTTGGTCCTACTGTTGACTTCATCATACATCACGTAGATCAATTTCTCGACTTAACGAGGTTTGTTTTATCATCATAGGACATTGTTGCCACAACAACAACGACCCAGTATAATCCCACAAGTGGGGTTTGGGGAGGGTAATATGTACGCAG